TTGATCTCCCTCTCCACTTTGGCTTTTGACTTTTCGAGCGACCTCTTGCCACCATGGCCTCTGCTGCTTCGTACTTGCTCTCCTTTTTGGTTTTCTTCCTGAGTTCATAACTATACAAAGCAGTAGTTACATCCTTAAGGGTAACATTATCCTTACCATGAAGTAACGTTGTCTCAAAGTGCTCAAATTCATCTGGAAGAGATGACAACAACATCAAAGCCAAATCTTCATCTTTGAAGGTTTCATCCATGCCCAATAAGTCTTCCACTAGCTCATTGAATGCAGTGATGTGTTCATTTATACTGGTGCCTGGTTGATAATCAAATCTGAACAATCTTTTCTTCATGTGGAGACGATTCTGAGAGCTTTTCTTCAGGAATTTTTCCTCCAAAGCTTTCCACATCTTACTTGCAGAAGTCTCGTTCTTGTAGCCATACTTCTGCTCCCTGGAAAGACAAGATCGAATCGTGCTGCACGCCAAACGATTGATTGTTCCCCATTCTTTCTCCTCTATATATTCAGACTTTTCTTCCTCAATGGCGATGTCTAGACCTTGTTGGAATAAAGCGTCTAACATCTCGCATTGCCACATGCCAAAATGACCGGATCCATCGAACAACTCCACCGAGAAATTTGCATTTGACATTACCCTCCTCACCGGTCCAGATGAAGAGCTTGATATCTCAACTGATCCGTATTTTGGCATTTTAATTCTAACGAACAATATTCAATATCACGAACTGTATCTTTTCAGCAACAGAACCACCAGGATAACCTCAACCGAAGCTCCGATGCCAATTATTGGGGAAAACGGGTTATTTCCCACACGAACGTAGTTTTAAAATTGACCTAAAATGTCAATATTAAAACCACCAAAGGTTGCACAACAGATAAACCTGTCAAACTATTGAATATTGAAACACAATGGAAAAGAACCGAATAAAAAACAATAAAGGAGAGAACACACTAAATTTACGAGGTTCGACGAGAATATCGTCTACTCCTCGGGCACCACACCGGATGATAACTTTACTATATCTCCAATATTACAACAAATGGAATTCTTTGGAATTCCCAAAGTGGGAGAATGAAGAATACAAGAGGAAGAGAGAACTTGTTTTTGGGATGATTTCTAATGGAAATACTTAGGCCTATTTATAGTTGAGTTTCAAGAACAATATGTTCAAAGTTTGGCCACCTACCAAAGAATTTTCCAATGTGTACAAGTTAGCCACCAAATATGAAATTCACATGTTCAAAGTTTGGCCACCAACCAAGATGAAATTTCTAACTTGTCAACTTAATTTCTAGACAAATCTAACACCATCAACCTCAACGCTTACACCGGTGGCACCGTGCTTGTCCAGGCAAGTTTTTTTTTTAAAAACTTAGCACATTTCATTTTCATACGGGGATGGAATGAATGTTATTCTTTTCCCTCTTAGGAATTTGCGCTTGTTTTTGAGTTGGGGGAATTATTTTGTGATGGTGGTGGGATGTAATGTTAACCCAAAATAGGATGTCAGATTCAAGTTATTCAGGTAAAGCTCAGCGATCTACTTTCACAATAGTTTTCTCAATCCAATAAACAATGGCTCTATCTTAATATCATTCAGTTTTAGCATATATATATGATAACAACCTGTTAACTCATACAAGTGAACACTATCTATAAAATTTATTTTTTGGTATGTTAAATTTAAATTCTTAACCACGTTTCTTAGATATATTTAATATAAAATCTAAAGTATAATTTAATGATTTAATTAATAGTGAGATCATAGTATCCAATATTTAAAATTTAAGTAAAATATTTTAAAGTTTAAGATTAATTTAAATTTTGAATTATAGTTTTAAAATATAGTATAATTAACCTTAAAAATATATGACACTAAAAATTAAAATAAAAAGAACTTAGGGGCATTAGATCTTAAGTAAAGCAATTGAATGGTGTATAATTAACCTTAAGAAATATAACTTCATGAGGCAACGTCACACCTTTAATTATAGGGAAGATAAGAACTGGAACATTGTCATTCATCTAAGTAGGGTAAAAGTCACAGCTCCCATGATATTATTTGAAGGTTTATATTAGAATGAATACTGCTCATTGCCCAGGTATCTTCTCTAAAAATGGAACTAAATTGCTTACAAAAAGAGATTAAATTCTTAGTTTAATTTGCTAACTAAATTTATATTAGAAAGAATATTGTCCACTGCCCATGTATCTTCTCTAAAAATGGAACTAATTCAAGGTACAATGAGTGACATATTCGGATATCCGATCCAAAAATTTGAATATTCAAAATTTCGGATACCTGATTATTTCGGATCGGATTCATACCACTATTTTTGTTATCCAAAATTTCGGATACCCAAATTTTCGTATTGGATTGGATCCGATATCCGGATTTGTACACCTCTATTCATAACTGGTAAATTTCTTTAGCTCTCTGGGGAAAGTGATCTGGTGTTGTGTCTCCACCATCCCCTCATCATGAGCTAGCATGTGGAGCTACCATGGTGTAAGCGGCCTTCCCTTAACTTCATGTGGAGCCTAGGCATACATGCTTCCGGACCAAATAGATTTAATGATGTCTCCCTAGGATAAATATCTAGGGATGGTTTAGGGTTTACGGGTCCCATATCACGCTCTTAATTGAGGAGTGAGGATGCCCTCTAGCATTTGATATGTCCCCACGAAATCTCCCTTCCAAGAGTACTTGTGGCATTGGGATTATTGTGACTTATGAACTAATACAAGACTTTTATATTTGGGCAGATTGATGTGGGATTGACTGATGAACTGAGGGATTGACTCTTGTCAGGTATAGCACTGGTTATTTTGAGGCCTAAATCATTGAGGGAAAGACTGACTTATCTGAAAATTACCTTATTCAAGTGCCGTATAACGTAGAGACGGAGTCGAGAAATTGTGTCCATGACCCTTAGTACGATAGCAATAGTATTTGATGTTCAACTCAATATTGCTTTGTTAGTGGGATATTATATGCACTTTCAAGCTTTAACATGTTCAGTGCTTTATGCATGATTGTTTTAGTTTTCAATCTTATATTTGCATCGTATAGTGGTGTTTTCATATCTTTCCACTTCTAATTTTACTCGTGTCACTTAGCCTGTGACACCATGCGAATTATCTGTTAAATCTCATTATCTTTAGATTTGGCTGCATGGATCTCTTTTTTATATCCTCTTCTCTCATGGTAATTCCAAGCATTTGTAATAGATTGAATCGGTTGTAAATTTTGCTAGCGTATGTGTTCCAACTCTTGCAGAGTATTACCTACTCCAATATATTCATGGTTGTAGGAAACTTAAGGTGTATAAGATTCAGTAGGCACTCTACTCTGGTCACGATAATATATGGAATGATTATGTCCACTCTATCTGCTGCACTCGCAATATTTAAAATCATTCTCATCCCACCATTTATGTGGTCTCGAAACTCACCTAATTTATGTTTTATCTATCTTGCGACCTATTTCTTATTATATTTTTATAAGTATCAATTAAATAAATATATTATCTTTTATTAATAAAGTATAAAATATTTATCTTTTAGACTTTTACTACACATGTGTGACATTATTCTAACTGTTATTATTCAAAAAATATGCCATTGTGATTTTTTAATCGACTAATACAAATTTAATAAATTCATAAATTAAAATTTATACATAATATTTAAAATACAAATAATAATAAGAGACGAATAAGGTTGATAAAAATTTATACATTTGTGTACTACCTACGTGATAAAAAAATCATTCTAATTCGTAAAGTAATATAAAATGGGAGGTTTGCTTGCCAAAATTCGTAAAGTAATATAAAGGATTTGCATGTTGGAATAAAATATGTTTGTTTCAGCTGCTGAGGAACATTTTGGTTGATGTTTTGATGCGAAGTCCCTTTAAGTTGTACGAGTGAAGACTTATGTGATGAAATAAAATGATTTTTTAATTGTTATGATTAAAGATTCGATTAGCTGTAGCTTGTGAAAGATTTTCACTTTGAGAAGGGAGGTTGGTTCTATTTTGTTTCGGAGGACAATGACGTTGGTTTGAAACACACAACAACCGTCATATGGTGGATTGGCACAAACTTATATGGTTCCCACCAAGCATGCGGTGGTCCTTTGAATGGCTATTTTTAATAAGTTACCGATTAGGGATAAGTTGTTGAAAATGTGATTGATAGTGAGTGACTATTGTTTGCTTTGCGATTAGGGATAAGATGCCCATTCTCTGAAAACTGTACCATCTCTAGTTTCTTCTCCGAAAACTATTTGGTCATGGACACATGAGTTAACTTGGGTGTTTAATTCTCTTGAGAGACTTATCTCTTCTTATTATTACTAGTAAATTAGCTTGGAGTACATGTCTTTATCTTATTTTCTTATTTGGGAAGAAAGGAATAAGAGAATTTGTCGTAGTTTAGTGAAAGGGGAAGACGTTATTTTTGACTTGATTAAGAAAATTGTTAGATTGAAATTGTATAGAAAAAACATGAATAAAATTAACTATGTGAATTCGAAACTTTATATGAAGTGTGATATTCTTGATTGAACATCAAATTTTTATATTTACACTCTTATTTTGTAGCAGCTTATTACTTTTTTTTATAGATATATTACTATCGATTTATCCGGAAAATATAAATAAAATGGGTGTTATTCTATGTATTAATTTTTGTTTTGAGAATATTTGGATAGAAAAAGCCTTGATAAAGGTAAAAGGACGTAAATTTATCATTATATAAATTTCCCCAAGGCCTTAATTAAACTCTTATCCACCTCACATCTAAGGACAAATGCCACGTGGAGTGATAACATCCGAGCTAACCAATGATATCAATCCTCAGTAGATGACCCATTTCTTCATCCTGATAATCACAAATACCAACCACACAAATCCAACCTCAGTCTCTTCTCCATTTGATTTCCTCTCACCACGACTCAGAACATACATCTACACAACCCAATGGCCACCGTCACCTCTGCAGCTCTCACCATCCCATCCTTCACTGGCCTGAAAGCCGGTGCAACCGCATCTAAAGTAAGCTCCGCAGCCAAGGTTGCAGCCTCTCCCGTCCCAAGGGTAGGGGTTGCATCAAGGCCTCCCTCAAAGACGTTGGTGTTAATGTTGTTATGTTTGACTTGAAATTAAGTTTGGCAAGATTGGAAATTTAATTTTGGTTGGTGGCCAACTTATTGAAAAATTAATCTTGGTTGGTGGCCAACTCATTGGAAAATTCTTTGGTAGGTGGCCAACTTATTTTTCATGTTTGGTCCTTAAAATATTAGGTTATTTATAAGTTTAGTCCTTAGAACTCAACTATAAATAGGCCTAAGTATTTCATTAGAAATCATCCCAAAACAAGTTCTCTCTTCCTCTTGTATTCTTCATTCTCCCACTTTGGGAATTCTGAAGAATTCCATTTGTTGTAATATTGGCGATATAGTGAAGTTATCATCCGGTGTGGTGCCCGAGGAGTAGACGATATTCTCGTCGAACCTCGTAAATTTGGTGTGTTCTCTCCTTTATTGTTTTTATTCAGTTTTTTTCATTGTGTTTCAATATTCAATAGTTTGACAGGTTTATCCGCTGTGCAACCTTTGGTGGTTTTGATCTTGACATTTTAGGTCAATTTTGAAACTACGTTCGTGTGAGAAATAACACGATTTCCCCAATAATTGGCATCAGAGCTTCGGTTGAGGTTATCCTGGTGGTTCCGTTGCTGAAAAGATACAGTTCGTGCTATTGAATATTGTTCGTTGGAATTAAAATGCCAAAATATGGATCAGTTGAGACATCAAGCTCTTTATCCGGACCGGTGAGGAGGAGGATGTCAAATGCAAATTTCTCGGTGGAGTTGTTTGATGGATCCGATCATTTTGGATTGTGGCAAGGCGAGGTGTTAGACGCTTTATTCCAACTAGGTCTAGACATCTCCATTGAGGAAGAAAAGCCCAAATATATGGAGGAAAAAGAATGGGTAACAATCAATCTTGTCTTTCTAGGGAGGAGAAGTATGGCTACAAGAATGAGACTTCTGCAAGTAAGATGTGGAAAGCATTGGAGGAAAAATTCCTAAAGAAAAGCTCTCAAAATCGTCTCCACATGAAGAAAAGATTGTTCAGATTTTATTATCAACCAATTACCAGTATGAATGAACACATCACTGCGTTCAATGAGCTAGTGGCAGACTTATTGGGCATGGATGAAACCTTCAAAGATGAAGATTTGGCCTTGATGTTATTGTCTTCTCTTCCAGATGAATTTGAGCACCTTGAGACAACGCTACTTCATGGTAAGGATAATGTTACCCTTAAAGATGTAACTGCTGCTTTGTATAGTTATGAGCTCAGGAAGAAAACCAAAAAGGAGAGCAAGTACGAAGCAGCGGAGGCCATGGTGGTAAGAGGTCGCTCGAAAAGTCAAAAGCCACAGTGGAGAGGGAGATCAAAGTTGAAGTCCATAATGGGAAAAGATAAATGTGTCTTTTGTCATGAGAAATGTCATTGGAAGAAAGATTGTCCGAAGCTGAAGAAGAAAGGAAAAGCTGCTCCAGATGAATGTGTTGCAGAGCATGATGCAAATGACTCTGACATATCATTGGTTGCTTCATCAACAACATTCCATTCAGATGAATGGATATTAGATTCGAATTACACCTATCATATGTCCCCTAATCGGGAGTGGTTCTCCGATTTAGTAGAACTAAATGCAGGAGTTGTTTATATGGGCAATGACAATGCCTGTGAAACTGTTGGGATAGGTTCAATTCAATTGAAGAATCAAGATGGATCAACCAGAGTTCTGACAGATGTCCAATACGTGCCCGGTTTGAAAAAAAAAATCTCATCTCGTAGCCTTGGAATCCAAAGGCTTAGTAGTCACTATGAGAGATGGAGTTTTAAAAGTCACATATGGCACACTTGTGATGATGAAGGGCATCAGGAAAAATAATTTGTATTACTACCAAGGTAGTACAATTATTGGAGCAGTTGCAGCAGCTTCCGGAGGTGATGATTTGGACGCAACCCAGTTGTGGCATATGCGGTTGGGACATACTGGAGAGAAATCCTTGCAAATTCTGGCAAAGAAAAGATTGTTGAAAGGTGCAAAGGCTTGCAATTAAACTTTTACGAGCATTGTGTTCTGGGAAAGCAGAAGAGATTGAAGTTTGGCACCACTATATATAATACAAAATGTATTGTGGATTATATTCACTTAGATGTATGGGGTCCTTCAAAGACATCGTCTTTGGGAGGAAACCATTATTTTGTAACTTTTGTAGATACTTTTCTAGAAGAGTTTGGGTGTATCCGATGAAGTCTAAAGATTAAGTGCTCCAAATTTTCCTGAAATGAAAAAATATGATCGAGAACCAGACTGGTAGAAAGATCAAACGTCTTAGGACGGATAATGGAGGGTAATATAAAAGTGACTCATTCTTTGATGTTTGCCATGAGTATGGTATTGTTCGACACTTCACGGTTAGAAATACACCACAACAGAATGGGATGGCAGAGTGTATGAATCGAACACTATTGGAGAAAGTTCGATGTATGTTGTCTAATGCTGGGTTAGGCAAGGCATTTTGGGTTGAGGCTGTGACATATGCTGGCTATCTCATTAATCGTCTGCCGTCATCAGCGATAGGAGGAAAAACACCATTGGAGGTATGGTCTGGAAAACCTGCTACTGATTATGATTCCTTACATGTATTTGGATCCACTGCTTATTATCATGTGAAGGAATCTAAGCTTGATCCGAGAGCAAAGAATGCTCTCTTTATGGGAATCACCCATGGAGTGAAGGGATTCCGCCTTAGGTGTTTAGACACCAAGAAGATAATTTGTAGCAGAGATGTTACCTTTAATGAATCTTCCCTAGTAAAGAATGTAACAAATGAAGCTGTCCAGACAAGTAGTACTTCGCAGCAGGTGGAGCATACTCCAAAACAGGTGGAGTTTTAGCAGACGATGATCCCAGAAGTTGATGCAGCTGATTCTTCAACTCCAATAGAAGAATCAGAAGATGAAGAAGTTCAAACCCAAGAACCATTGGAGACACCATAACCACTTGCAGTTACAAGGCCAATGAGAGAAATTCGTAGACCTGCTCGATTTGTTGATATGGTGGCCTATTTTCTTCCAGTTGTTGATGATGATATCCCTATCACTTACCAAGAAGCAATACAAAGCTTCGAAAATGATAAGTGGAAAAGTTTCATGGATGAAGAAATGCAATCTCTCCAAAAGAATAATACTTGGAAACTGATACAATTACCGAAAGGTAAAAGAGCAATTGGATGCAAGTGGGTATTTGCAAAGAAAGATGGATCTCATAGCAAGAAAGATGTTCGCTACAAGGCACGATTGGTAGCTAAAGGCTACGCTCAAAAGGAGGGAATCGACTACAATGAAGTATTTTCCCCTGTTGTAAGCATTCCTCCATTAGAATATTGTTGGCCTTGGTAGCATAGTTGAATTTGGAGCTAGCTCAACTTGATGTAAAGACGGCTTTCTTGCACGGTGATTTAGAAGAGGAGATCTATATGACTCAGCCAGAAGGATACAAAGATGGTGGTCGTGAGAAATGGGTTTGTAAGCTGAACAAATCGCTATATGGATTGAAGCAATCATCGAGGCAGTGGTACAAGCGATTTTATAGCTTTATGAGGAGGCAAAAGTACACTAGAAGCAAATATGATCATTGTATGTATTTGCAAAAGCTCAAAGATGGATTTTTCATTTATCTTCTCTTGTATGTTGACGATATGTTGATCGCTTCGAAGAGTCAAAAGGAGATAGACAAATTAAAGGCTTAGTTGAATCAAGAGTTTGAGATGAAATATCTAGGTGAGGCCAAGAAGATTCTTGGTATGGAGATAAGCAAAGATAGACAGAGAGAGAAGCTTTGTTTAACACAGAAGCATTATCTGAGAAAGGTATTACAATGTTTTGGCATGAATGAAAATACCAAACATGTAAGTATCCCACTAGCTTCTCATTTGAAACTTAGTTCTTAATTATCTCCTAAAACAAACGAAGAACGAGAGTATATGGCAAAAGTTCCATATGCTAATACAATTGAGAGCTTGATGTATGCAATGGTGTGTACACGTCCTGACATTTCACAAGCAGTTGAAGTTGTGAGCAGGTACATGCATGATCCTGAAGAAGGACATTGGCAAGCTGTGAAATGGATTCTACGGTATCTCCAACAAACCGTGGATGTTGGTTTAGTTTTTGAACAGGATAAAGCACTTGGTCAGTGTGTGGTTGGATATGCTGATTTCGATTATGCTGGTGATTTGGATAAGCGTCGATCAACTACTGAGTATTTGTTTACTCTTGCTAAAGACCCATTAAGTTGTAAGTCTACATTGCAATCTACGGTGGCCTTGTCTACTACAGAGGCAGAATACATGGCAGTTTCAGAGGCTGTAAAGGAAGCAATTTGGCTTAACGGGTTGATGGAAGACTTGGGAGTTGTTCAAAGTCATATTAGTCTCTATTGTGACAGTCAGAGCACTATTCACTTAGCGAAAAATCAAGTTTACCATTCAAGGACGAAGCATATCGATGTGAGGTATCACTTTGTGCGGGAGATCTTTGAAGAAAGAAAGATTCTGCTTCAGAAAATTACGACAGCAGAAAATCCTGCAGATATGATGACCAAGGTAATAATAGTAATCAAGTTCAATCATTGTTTGAACTTGATTAACATCCTGAAAGTATGAACACCTTCGGGTGTGTGGCACTTGTGAGCGCAATTAGAGGCACAACATCAAATTTGGGGAGTTGAAGAAGTTGAGTAGGCTTGGTAATTTCAAGCTAAGGTAGAGATTTGTTATGTTTGACTTGAAATTAAGTTTGGCAAGATTGGAAATTTAATCTTGATTGGTGGTAAACTTATTGAAAAATAAATCTTGGTTGGTAGCCAACTCGTTGGAAAATTCTTTGGTAGGTGGCCAACTTATTTTTCATGTTTGGTCCTTAAAATATTAGGTTATTTATAAGTTTAGTCCTTAGAACTCAACTATAAATAGGTCTAAGTATTTCATTAGAAATCATCCCAAAACAAGTTGTCTCTTCCTCTTGTATTCTTCATTCTCCCAATTTGGGAATTCTAAAGAATTCCATTTGTTGTAATATTGGCGATATAGTGAAGTTATCATCCGGTGTGGTACCCGAGGAGTTGACGATATTCTCTTCGAACCTCGTAAATTTGGTGTGTTATCTCTTTTATTGTTTTTATTCGGGTTTTTTCATTGTATTTCAATATTCAATAGTTTGACAGGTTTATCCGTTGTGCAACCTTTGGTGGTTTTGATCTGGACATTTTAGGTCAATTTTGAAACTACGTTCATGTGGGAAATAACATGATTTCCCCAATAGCTGTTGCGGCAACCGCTGCAAGCGCAATCCTCGCCAACAATGCCTTGGCCGTTGAAGTCTTGCTCGGTGGTGATGATGGGTCTCTGGCCTTCGTCCCCAGGGAATTCAGCGTGAGTTCTGGGGAGAAAATTGTGTTCAAGAACAATGTTGGGTTCCCGCATAATGTGGTGTTCGACGAGGACGAAATCCCAAGCGGAGTCGACGCATCCAAAATCTCCATTAACTAAGTTACGGCTTTCTGTTTTGTTCATGTTACATCGCACACATCCCTTTTACTTTTTGAGCATTAGAGTTTTGAGTGCTGACCAGAGATGGATGAGATCGTCGTGAATTTGTATCTTGATATCTTTCCTTTCCTTTAAACTTTTGTTTATATTTTACTTATAACCGGATTAAAGTCTGATTTTCTTTTTGGAACTCGGACACTAGCTATTATTTAAAACCCAACATATTACAAAGTGCCCAAATCTAATTATAGCATGCATAACGAGCCTCTCTTGTTCCTCTCAAGAAAACAAAAATGCTCCTCTTCTGGCTTCTAAAGCTGCGCCACGGGTCGAGCAGGCTCTAAACTCTATATCCATAATATATATACCGCTGGTCAAATGGCTTTTATAGCTTACAAAGCTATGAAAGACCATTTCTACTTCACAAATCCTACTTAGTGGTTACCAATACATATATGCGTACTGTTGGAAGATTTTCACAAGCAATGTGAAATCGAGTGAGGAATGATTCAGGATTTCGAACATACATTCCTTGCTCAGCTTCGACTTAGTTGCCGTTGGCGGCTCTTTGGGTTGATATAGGAGGAACGGCCCTTATCATGAGACTCTGGACAAACGCTACCATCTGCTTAAGAAAAAGAAATTTCAGTTGGTTACCGTGCCCTACTGCCCTTGTCAAGTAGATGCAGATTAAATGTACGTCTGGAGTCTGGATTGCATTTTATAACTTCAATATTAGGGGACATGTATGTCTCATATTCTTACCGAGGCAAACCCGACGCACATGATACTGAAACCGGGGAAATAAAAGGGTGCTCTTTCCGAAAGGAACATAGCTGGAAGAATGAATAAACTATGTCAGTCTTACATTTTGAACGAGTCTAAGGATGAACTTAGTCGAGCTTTGGTTGACCTGTTAGAGGAGAGAAAACCAAGGGAGAAGTAACTTGGGCAAAGGAACCTATGCCTGAAATAAAGCCTTGAACCTTGCCCTGAATATAAGGAATAGGCATTAGCTAGCCAGCTTTAATACACACCCACAAATAAAAAGCTTGTCTGCCGAATAATACCTGCTCACAGGACCCTACTTGTTTAGACACAATGCTCCTTATCTGCATATTGTAAAATAAACATTGGTTTCAAAGCATGCTACATGTTCTGAAGATTTGGGGACAATAATTGAAGTAAAAACTCACACATGGTTGTGAAAAAACATAGAATAAGGAAAACACAGCTGCCGCATAGGGTACCTGCCATGTTGAAGCAAAAAGACGGTCGCTCATGTTAAGTATTCTAGGAACAAAAGTTTTGGATGTTTATTGAGTTTTGATTATTACCCACGAGGACCATGCAATGCTATAGAAGAGCATCTGCATTCAAACCCATAGACTATTAAATAGAGAACCAGGAAGCAAGGCAATTACAGTTTACATGTGCACAAGATTGTGTCACAATATGTAACCATAGGGTCAGCGAAAATATGTGAAATATCAATGAAACATGCAGCTTACATGTGCACAGCTAAAAAATAACCCAATCGACAGCAATCTCTCTTCTCCGAGAGCAGGAGCTAGAACGGGCATGAGAAGCAGCTGCAAGAAAGTTTTTGACAACAGAGGAAAATTGTAAATAAAAGAAGAATGAAATGACTAGATACACAAAATATGTCGTGCCTGGGAAACAGTCCCCGCAACTCCAGTTATAACCATCAAGTCGGCAAACTGGTCTTTGTTGAAGTGAAACCTGGCCTTTAGATAATACTGCTCAGGAAAGTTAACTGGTTCAAAATTACGGCCATGGATATTTATTTTTCTACTAGAATCAAAGTGCTTTTGATGTGATTGCAAATGTACCAGTAATGAAGCGTAGAGGCCAACATCCGCAAGATTGCTGAAAAATGAAACAATTGCCGCTTGAGAAAATGTCAAGCTGTTACACCATTTACGTTCAAATTAGAACATTAGTCACTCACTCGAAGAAGAATCTACTGATTAAAGCATGATATATTTTAGTATAAGCTTGGGGTAGCAAAACACGTATCAAATGAAGGAAAATTTAGAGACCTGCGCTTCAACAAGGCAAGCATATCTTCTATGGAAGGCAAGTCTTTAAACGTCTGCATCTTCTTGCTGGACTCCTCATCCTGATTAACAATGCCATTGAAATTTTCTTTTGATACAATTGGAGTAGAAAGATTATCATTTATGACGGAATTTGGTAAGAAAACCCTCATGTAAACCGCTGACAGCATCGCCATTGCTGTCGCTACCTGGTAAAGGAAACAATCAAATTCGGTTCATTGGAAAGAAATAATATTTGAAATAGTAGAAAAGACGAGGAGAAGCAGAAACCTGGAAAATGGAAGCAGTCGAAAGAAAACGGGTAAACAGAGTCCCGCAGACGAAGGCACACGACCCAATACCAGACAGAATCCCAAAAGCTGAAGCTCGTCGTCCTTCTGGAACGTTGTCTGCCTGAAAAAAGAAAAACCCAAGTTTCAGGCACTTAAAAACATAGATGGATGAGGAATCATGGATGTAATCTGTTTAACGACCGTGAGTGAAACGGACAAGAGATGGGGATTTATCTTAGTATAAAACTAGCCCACTATCCGTGCTGAAAACCTTAGACAAGGCCCCATTTATGATTTAACGAAGCGAGGTTTACCACATAAGCAAGAGCAAGACAGTGAACGCTTCCTTCACAAAACATGGCAGTGAGAATCTTGAATACGTAGTAGGCATAAAAGAAACTCCTGGTTCTGCTGTACGCCAGTATGGCTGCAGAAAAGAAACATGGCGGGTGTTCTTACTAAGAAATACACAACACAAAAAGGAAAATTAAATGTATATATATAATGGATTTGCATTGGAATTACCTAATGGGATTATAGTGAGAGTGATGGGTAGTGTAAGCAAAGGCTTCCTTCCATACTTGTCGGAGAGATTTCCAACGAAAGGCATCATCAAAAAGGACCCAAGCCCAATAATCTGCATAGATCGTGTGCTATTTTATGTTAATGGATGAAATACTGTTTCTGTTAACCCAAAATTAGAACTGGTAAGGTTAGGTAAGTATACTAATCAGGGAAAAGAAGACAAACAAAAAGTACGGCCAATTGATTGGCCACTACGGGTTTGTAAAAAGACAGAACATCCAATTCCAACAAAGATGTGAGGTGCTATGTTAACTCGCACGCATAACTGAAAGTGCCATGGGAAGTTTCCTTGAACGCCGTGACTCGAAAACGAGCCTGGACCTCTGGCTGATCAGTAGAGATTTGATTGAGCTCTTCGTCCATGTTTTTCTTTTGCATGGAGAGGTGGCAATTTTCATCAGTGTCAATATTTTTCAATTACTTGAATTATCATTCAGGCAACAGTTCAAAGGTGAATGAAAATGACACGTTGCTTGTAGAAAATATAGTGATTGACCCTATGAATTAAAGAAAATTCCTGTTCAAGTTAAAGATGAAAAAGAGAGTTAAACGTGCGTATCATTTATTACATCAAAACACAAAGAAAACCAAGTTTAGAGACTAAGCAACTACTAATATTTCATTGCAGACTAGCAATATTTACCCAATTGTTCATTGAACTTAAAAGATTACGTAATGATGTTGAACTGAAAGGGTACACAACTGCACAAATGAGTGGAAATTAAGTACGAGGTGGAAAGAGGCTTTGCCATTGGTCCACGTATACTAGGTGGGAAGGAGACAAAAGCAAAAAGGCGTCTCTTCGAATGTTGAAATTGAAGGGAAATTTCGTTGAGTGAGAGACAAAACAGAGTTAACCTTTTGCGATTGTCATATATGATATCATCATAGTACGTAGATTCTGCTTCCTAAAGGTTTACATAACAGTTTGATAGAATTATGCATTACGATCAGATAAGTTTCCGTTTAAGATCGACCAAACCTTCAACCATGTGCTCCTTTTTTATTCTGGGTAAACTGGTGTTAGGAATTTGAGAGCGGAACCCTAACAACTTGAATGCAAAACGCATCTTAAATAGTTTTTCTTTTGGATGACAACGAACAACGCCATTGATTGCAAAGAAAAAGTTTCCAGTTTTAAAATATATAAGAAAGAGAATTAAAATTAGAAAAAAAATGACATTATGAGCTTTTTACCGCTTGCTGAAATCCAGAGATGTAAATGGCAAGGGAACATTCATCTCTTCCAGGGCAAAGCGCCTCCATTGTAACATCCGTGATCGCCGGAATCACCATAAAGGTGGCGAAGTTGTGGAGGAAGATTGTCATGAAGAGGTGGCTCAGCCCCGACAGCTTCTCCATTGTTCTCTCTCTCTCTTTCTCTCTCTAACTAAAAGATAATGAGGAAAAACACCTAAAGGAGAAAAAAAAACTAAAGCTAGCTCTCTCAATCTACAAGCAAAACACCTTGAAAACAAGGGAAGCGCAAAGGACGTTAATTTTGAGATTAAGTGAAGTGTAAACTTTGCCATTTTATATCATTATCGCGCATGTCCTTGTTCGCTATTTGTAGTGGTTATTGGGCTGACAGCTTGTTTCCCACATGAAGAAATCACATACAAGCAGGTACAAACTCGATGTTAGGTGGATAAATGGGCCTACTGTAGACTGATTGTTCTCGTTGAAGCCGAAATAAGGAGGCAATAGGAATGCAAAGGCTTGTAGCTGTTAGGCTGTTAAGTAGTTTGATTAGTTTGATGCTAGTTGGCAATTAGTTAATAATTTGTTAGATTTGTTAGGTTGTTAATATTAGGTTATAAATACCCAATCATTGTAATGTGTTGAGTATTATTGTAAGTCATTTTCTAGGGTTAGTAAAAACCTAATACTCTTTATTTGTTTTCCATCAACTATTTCCTTTCTCCTTTCCATTTCATATTGCGGTTTAGCAATGTCCGGCCTTTGTGCCAGAGCATCAACATTTCATCAGTAGCTTTAAGCACGCTTCTCTTTCCTTTCTCTATGTATTTATCTCAGCTGAAAAGTGAAGCTAAAGACTACA